GCTTTTCTAGAAAATGATTTCCAAAAGACATGATAAAACTTGTGAAAATTTGAAGTATGGGAGCACCTGGGTGGCACAGTCAGTTAAGCATCAGACTCTTGGTTTTGGCTCGGGTCATGATCTCAGGGTCGTGAAATCGAGCCCCCAGCTGGGCTCTGCGCTCAGCTCGGAGTCTGCTTAAAGTTTTTCTCTCCCCTCTCCTCTGCTTGCTCCTCCCCTCCCAAATAAATAAATCTTTAAACATTTTTTGAAGTATGGATAAAACAAACTTTAACTTAGGGTACTTTGACAATTTGTGAAAAAAAAAGTTATATTTTTCTTAGAGGTATTTATCTTAGTGAAGGATAATTTTATACACACGCTGTATCCCTAATGTATTTTGTGTTTGTGACTATCTGGGGATTGCATAAAATTCTGTTACTTTTTAGTGGGAAAAATCTGAAATCTTCTTGATATGTTGATTTTGTTTTCTTCAGTACTTAAGTCTTGAGAAGTTTTTTTTGTGTGTGTTTTTTTTTAAAGATTTTATTTATTTATTTGACAGAGAGAGACATAGTGAGAGCAGGAACACAAGCAGGGGGAGTAGCAGAGGGAGAAGCAGGCTTCCCGCGGAGCAGGGAGCCCGATATAGGACTCGATCCCAGGACCCTGGGATCATGACCTGAGCTGAAGGCAGACGCTTAACGACTGAGCCACCCAGGCGCCCCAAGTCTTGAGAAGTTTTAACCTGCTCAAGCTGCTGTTTTTTTTTTTTTCTTTTAAAGATTTTATTTATTTATTTGAGAAAGAGAGAATGAGAGACAGAGAGCACAAGAGGGAAGAGGGTCAGAGGGAGAAGCAGACTCCCCGCCAAGCCGGGAGCCCGATGCGGGACTCGATCCCAGGACTCCAGGATCATGACCTGAGCCGAAGGCAGTCACCCAACCAACTGAGCCACCCAGGCGCCTGTTTTTTTTCTTTTTAACATAGCTGGATTAATGCAGTTGTAGTCAGCAGTGTTTCTGCCACACTAGCTTCATAAGAAAGTTTCTGCCTTCCTTGCAGAATCATGGGTTATAACTTAGGGTTTCTGTGGGCACATTAATTCTGAATAGAACCTGGGGATTGTGCTTAACTAGAAGTGTGGTGGTTTTGGTAGTGAGTTCCTAACAGGACTCAGGTACTTATATGCTCAGTAAGACATTGCTGTTGTAGCAATTGTGGTATTTAATTGAACCTGAAGGTCCCATGGAATTTTCCTAGTCCATTATATTAAACTGAGAAAGTTTTAAAAAATGCAATTCAGTATTTATGATTTAGTTAATAGTTAAGCTAAGGACTTTTAGAAGCATTTGGAAGAGGGAGGAAGGAAGCCATACATTTACAGAGACCTTCATGAAACACAAAATTGTGACACTGAATTAGCCTTTCTTTCCCAGCCCTCTGCTGTACACCAGGCTCTGGTCCAAAGAGTAGCGTATGACTCAGATTTCCCCTTAACACCCTTGTTGTTGGGTTTGTTATTCTTTTCACGGTTTGGTTGGTGTATCATATGCACATAATTAATCTGAATACTCAGAAAGGATGTATGGACTCTCTTTAGGTTTTAATAAATGAGTATGATTGAATATTTTAGTTTGATTCTTTTGAGTAGGAATTTTTTGTTCTTTGTGATAAATATACAGCATTAGCACCAGGGGAATTAAATTCCTATCAACTAGGATATCAGTCAACCTTTTTGTTCCTGTAAGATCAAGTATGACTCTGAGATATGGTGTCTCTTAGCTTTACTTGGTAATTCTTAATCTTTTGGGGGGGTTTTCAACCCCTTTGAGAATTGTATAAAAAATTTGGATTCCCTTCTTAGAAAATGCACATCTGCAAATACAGCATGCAATTTTGTATAAATTTTAGGAAATATGTGGATCTTTCTGACATGTTATGCTAACAATCTCTGTTTTGTGTATTTACATTTTAGCATATGACTTTCTCCTGTTTTCTTTAGAATGGAAACCTTAAAAGTTTGAGATAAGGATTAGGAGAGTGAGCTTATGGGTTTCCAGGGAAAATTTATGTTTTTGAAGGAGGGGATACCATGGTATTTTTCCATCAGAAATCCATTTAAACTGTTGTTTCTGATAATGTACGAGTAGTGCATCTGGTTAAATCATTCTTCTGCACTGTAGGTTATGAAAAAATAGTGTCTCACTTGGTACATTCACAAAGGCAGTCTAGCAAGGAAAAATTAAAAAGCTTAAACTCTCATTCTCATTTCTACGGGAATAAAGAGGGAGAATTCATTTTGTCAAGCATTACAAATAAGCATGTATTAAAGCGGCTACATATGATGATGACACATTGTTGGAACACCCCATGAAAGATAATTTGCATGGAAGATGATTATTCAATAGGGCTTTAATTTACAAGAAACATTCCACAATTTAATTGAGCCCTTTTTGCACACACTGCTTTGCTTCAATAGATTGCATTTGCTCCCTGCATATGTACAATGCCATAAGAGTGGTTAAAATCTGATTCAGTCTAGCTGGAAGGTGAAACAACAGCTGAAAGTCATGTCATAAAAATATACATTATTAAACATTTGAGAATTGTTTTTGAAATCAGTTTTCTGTTGGCTGATTTGTACCATAAAGCTGATTGTCTAGTTTTCTTTTTTCTACTAAGATTTGTATAAGATTATTTGGCCCTGCTGGCCACTAGTTAAACTATATGGTTCAATTTAAGAATTTTTCACTTTTACAGGCTAGTCACCTATATTGTACTTTTGCAAAATGAGCATACATAGCCTGCATTTATAGTTATTATAGAAAGAAAATTATTTGGTGATAAAGAAGACACTAAAATAAACATTTCAACAAATAGCTGACTTATGATTAAAATGCCTAGAAAGTTAATGCAGTTAATCTGTCTCCCCTTATCCATGGGGAGATAGATTCCAAGACCACCAGTAGATGCCTGAAATTGCAGATAGTACCAAATGAGATATCTATATATCTGTATATAGCTATATAGATATATATATATAGATACACACTTTTTTATTGATGTATATGTATGATAAAGTTCAATTTATAAATTAGACTCAGTAAGAGATTAACAACCAACAGTAATAGAACAATTATAATAATATACTGTAATAAAAGTTATGTGAATGTGGTCTCTCTCAAAATATCATCTTGTACTGGACTCACCAATCATCTTGTGATGATGTGAGATGATAAAATGCCTAAGTGGTGAGGTGAATGACGTAGTATTGGGCTACTATTGACCTTCTGACACTGTGTCAGGAGGATCATCAGCTTAAAGACCACAGTTGACTGTGGATAACTGAAATATTGGAAAGGAAAACCTCAGGTAAGGGGGCCTACTATATATGGTTAGAAAAAAAAGATAAAAAAGAAAGTAATGTAGGTATGTCTAGTGTCTTCTCTGTCTGTATTAGAATAGTATTATGGATAAACTTTATCCTAGAGAGGAGGTTTTGTGTGAGCCTGAACTGACTCCTTATGGATGTTCCATCCTTGAGCATTTAAAATAAGCCTTGTTGTGAGAAGCCAAGCCCATTCTTGGTGGGGAAACACTAAAGGTATGTCCAAATAAGGAAAACATGGAAGACCTGCAGGTTAAGTCAGGAGGAGCAAGATAAGGATGTCTGTTGTCTCCATTGTTTTGGAGTCCTAAGATAAGGCAAGAAAAATGGATATAGATGTTGGAAAGGAAACCATATAATTATCACCATTTGTAGGAATAGTGATGGCATAGAGAAAAAGAATATTTTTGAGAATAAGATGAAGTTTAAAGTGGAGGGGAGGGAGGTTGAAACATTTTTTATTGAGTACCCTCCATGTTTTTTGGTGAATGAAGGCTTTCTGCTGAAAGGGGAGGGGCTGAGAGGGAAATGGGCAACTAAGAAGAATGAAAAGAAAGGATTTAGAATAGCTGTGGTGAAAAAGTATTTGGAGTAGCTCTAAGAGTTCTAAGAGGGTAAATTGTATGAAGGCGGTATGGAGTCAGTCAAGAAAGGTTGGTTCCTGTGCGTCAGGGTGATCTCTGAATTCTCTGAGCATAAGCAGTTGATTACCTGTGTGGGCAGCTTGATGACCACCTTAAGGTGATAAATAAGTGGTTCAGCTTCTTCCACAAAAGTTTGCTTCTGAGATCTGATGTTTGACTCCGTGAGACCCTGAAGTTGGAGATCCTATAGGATGAATTATAATTAAGGTAAGGGAAAAAGGAAGGATGAAACTATTTGGAGGAGAAGCTGTGTTATTTTTGTAGTGGGCCATCTGTTAGTAGAAGTCTCTGATTATGTACAAAAAAGTCTAGATGGAAATTCCCACTTCCTAGGGTTATTGTGGAGATTAACTAAATTAGATGTGAAAGTGGATATTTATTGTTTCCTACAGTGCTCTGCATTATAGTAAGCTCTTAGTAGATATCTGCTTTAAAACAAAAGCAAAAATCCTGTGCCCTGTGAGCCCATTCTTTTCAGATATTTAAGCGATTTTATCTCCCATACATTCTTTCAATATCAGCATCTTTAAACTTTTTCTTTGCACTGGTCCTGGCCTCTGTTCCTTCATCTCTGCCTCTGCATCCTGAGAAACCTGTGCTTGAGCCTGCTATTTCTTATCCGTTTCCTTCTTTCATAGCCAGATTCTTAAATAAATGGATTACAGTGCTATCTTTTCTTTTATTACTAATTCTCTTTAATCCCAGGGGAATTTGGCTGTGTCTACCTCCCTTCTACTCAAAGTCTCCACAAAATTAAACATAACTAATAGACAAACACCGAAGTAAATGATCAGGTGATAATAAGTGCTGTGGAGAAAAATAATTCAAGTTAGGGACTGCCAGGCACATGTTGGGGATTGGGGGCTCTGGGATGGTCAGGAAGGTGTCTCTCTCTTTTTTTGGGGGGGGGTTCTCTAATAAGTGGACACTAAAGCAGATTTAAGGAAGTGAAGGAGCAAATCATACAGATATCTGGGAAGAAAATTCCAGGCAGCCAATGCAAAATCCCTGTAGTGGGGGCAAGGTTGGTGCATTTGAAGAAGAGCAAGGAGGGTTTTGCAGATGGTATAGAGTAAGAAGGGGATGATGTCAGAGAGGTAAGTAGATTGACATTGGGAGCTTGTGGAAATTGTCTTCTGATTGCTTCTTTTTCCTCAGTGAGAGTGAGAATGAAGCAGAAGGGATTGGAGATTTGAAGAGATGTTCAATTAGGACAGTAGAGAGAGAATGGACTTGAGCAAAGTGTTATCCTTCAACCAGCAGCACCAGTATCATCTGGGAATGTGTTAGAAGTGCAAATTCTTGGATCTCATCCCAGACCTACTGAATCAGAAACTCCAGAGGTGAGGGCAAACAGTCTGTGTTTTTACAAGCTTTCTGGGTTACGCACAAAAATGTTTGAAAGCCATTGGACTAGAGAGTTAAGTACAATTACTAGGTAGCCCTGAGGACCTACTTGAGTTTAGTGATGTTAAGTTTAATGTGAAAATAGTCATTAGGTTATGTTGAGGGAAGAAAGGGATGAGGGAATTGAGTGTGTACAAGGAATTGTTTTAAATGATGTACTGCAAAATCTAAACTGCATAAAGAAAGAAGTAAGAATGGGTCATTGGGGGGGCGCCTGGGTGGCTCAGTTGGTTAAGCGACTGCCTTCAGCTCAGGTCATGATCCCAGGGTCCTGGGATCGAATCCCACATCGGGCTCCCTGCTCTGAGGGAAGCCTGCTTCTCCCTCTCCCACTCCTCCTGCTTGTGTTCCCTCTCTCGCTGTGTCTCTCTCTGTCAAATAAATAAATAAAATCTTTAAAAAAAAAAAATAGAATGGGTCATTGGGACAGTGAAAACATGCTAGGATCAATGGACTTTTGGTCCCAGTGGGTCAAAGAATTGGTCAGTGAAAAAATTCTGACACAGATCTGATTGATTCTAAATTACAGTTATTTTCCCTTTAGTCAAGTATCTTCATAAATCAGTATTTCTGCTTGAGAATTATATGTCAGAGCAAGTAATTTTGAGTCAAAAGTTTTGAGTTCAAGTCCTGCCTTTGTTAACTGACCTTGGGTAAGTTACTTAACTTTTCTCAATCAATTCAGTATCTGCACAATGGGACTTAAAGTACTTAATAGCTTAGTCTCACAGTTGTTCAGAATATGAAGCAAGAGACAAGTGTATGAAAATGTTTTATAAAACATGAAGTCCCATCTCCTTTTTTTTTTTTTTAAAAGATTTTATAGAGAGAGAGAGCGAGCACGAGTTGGGAGAAGGGCAGAGGGAGAGGGAGAAGCAGACTACTCACTGAGCATGGAGCCGATGGGGGGCTCAATCCCAGGACCCCGAGATCATGACCTGAGCCAAAGTCAGACACTTAACTGATTGAGCCACCCAGGAGCCCTTGAAGTCTCCTAATCAGTGCTCTCCACTGTTTTCCACACCTACCTCCTCCTCTTCTGTATCCTTTTTTTTTTAAAGATTTTATTTATTTATTTGACAGAAAGCGAGAGAGTGAGCACAAGCAGGGGGAGTAGGAGAGGGAGAAGCAGGCTTCCCACTGAGCAGGGAGCCTGATGCGGGGCTCGATCCCAGGACCCTGAGATCATGACCTGAGCCAAAGGCAGATGCTTAATGACTGAGCCACCCAGGCACCCCTCCTCTTCTGTATCCTATATTTTGTTTATGTAGTACAAAGAATCTTGCCTTGTGTCTATTACAAAAACACGAATCTTGTAGAAAAGTAAAAAAAAAGTATTCATGACTGTTGTTACAACTTGTCTTGTAATAAAATGTCTTAAAAATACATTAGACTTACGCCTCTGGCCAAGGCAGAGTAACTGGGAGCAGATTTATCATCCTACCTGTATTATTAGGGTTCTGCAGAGAAATAGAACCAATAGAATGTGTATGTTTATATATTTATTATAAGGAATTGGGTCACTTAATTGGGGAAGCTGAGAACTCCCAAATTCTGCAGTCTGCAAGTTGGAGACCCTGGAGAGCCAATGTGTAGTTCCAGTCCAAGTCTGAAGGCCTGAGAACTAGGAAAGCTGATCATGTGTATGCCAGTCTGAAAGCCTGAAGGCTCAAGATCCAGGAAGAGCCAATGTTTCCTTAGAGTCTGAATGCAGGAAAAGACTCAGCTCATTCGTCAAATGGGAAGAATTCCTTCTTACTCAGCTTTTTTGTTTTATTAAGGTCTTCAATTGATTGGATGAGGCCACTCACATTTAGGGTGGCAATCTGCTTTATGTAGTCTACTGATTCAAATGTTAATCTCATCTGGAAGCACCTTCACAGACACACCCAGCATAATGTTAATCAAATGTTGGGTACCTATGACCTGTCAGGTTGACATAAAATTAACCATCCCACCACCTGAAACAATTAAGAAACCAGACAAAATATATTAAACAGTGATTTTTAAAACATTGGATATCAGACATTGAAGTAACAATGATCTCTGAGAGATGAGAAACAAACAAGATGAACCCCATGACTGCCTCAGCTTACTTCCTGGAAAGGGTTTCTGCTTTCCGAGGAGGGGGGAACCCAAGTGGAGGCTGCCAGTTTCCCTGAGTTGAGAAGGTGGGGATGGAAGTCTGAGGAGGCCATGGTGACTAGAATTCATAGGAAGAAGCAAAACTATCTATTCGCAGATGACATGATCCTATATATATAAAATACCAAGGAAACCACAAGAAAACTAGAGATAATAATATATGAATTCAGTAAAGTTGCAAGGTACAAGATCAACACACAAAAGTCACTTGTATTTCTATACACAAGCAATGAACAATCTGAAAAGGACATTAAGACAGCAGTTCCATTTATTTATTTATTTATTTTTAAGATTTTTATTTATTTGACAGCACAAGCAGGGGGAATGGCAGGCAGAGGGAGAGAGGGAAGCAGGCTCCCCATCAAGCAGAGAGCCCAATGCTGGGCTCCATCCTAGGATCTTGGGATCATGACCTGAGCTGAAGGCAGACATTTAACTGACTGAGCCACCCAGGCACCCCAGCAGTTCCATTTATAATAGCATCTAAGAAAATAAAATAACCTAGGAATAAATTTAACCAAGATGGTGAAAGACTTATACACTGAAAACTATAAAACAGCGCTGAAAGAAATTAAAGACCTAAATAAATGGAAATATAGCCCGTGTTCATGAATAGGAGGACTTAATATTGTTAATATGTCAACATTCCCCTGAGCTATTCTTATCGAAATTCCAGTAGCCTTTTGTACAGAAATTAAAAAGCTGATATTTAAATACATTTGGAATTACAAAAGGTCTTGAATAGTCAAAACAGTTTTGAAAAAGAGCAAAGCTGGAGGACTTGCGCTTCTGATTTCAAAACTTACTACAAAGCTATTATAATCAAAACGGTGTTGTATTGGCATAAGGATAGAAATATAACTAATGGAATAGAATTGACAGTCTAGAAATACACCCGTATATCTAGGGCCAAATGGTTTTTGACAAGGGTGTCAAGTCCATTCAATGGGAAAAAAATAGTCTCTTCAACAGGTGGTAGTGCTGGGACAACTGAATTTCTACACATAAAAAATGAAGTTGGATCCCTGCCTCATACCGTATTATAGAAGAATTAAAATGGATCAACAACACCATGTAAGAGCTAAAACCATAATACTCTTAGAATAAATGACTGCTGAAGAAAGCAGAAGAAAGGGGCGCCTGGGTGGCTGAGTCAGTTGGGCGTCTGCCTTCGGCTCAGGTCTTGATCCCAGGGTCCTTGGGATCGAGTCCCACATCTGGTTCCCTGCTCAGTGGGGAGTCTGCTTTTCCCTCTGCCCCTCCCTCTGCTTGTCCTCGCCTTTCTCTCTCTCTCTCTCAAATATAAATTTAAAAATCTTAAAAAAAACAGAAGAAAGATCATTCTTTGCTGTTTTTAATTTAGGATTTCTCTGTTGATTGCTTTATGAAACATCATGTGGCTGTTACTAATCTATGCTGTTATACTAACATGAGATTTAACACAAATGAAATGTTCCTTTATGATGTCTAAACTTGTGCTCATAACATACTACACTGTCCTGGATCCATTTGGAAGTTTCACGATTTAGTTTTTGTGTGTTGATTACTACCAGGACATTACATGTTCTGGTATTTAAATATAATTTCACAGTAGCAAAATCTTTATCAAGCTTAAATATAGATGACTTTTAGGCTTTTAGGAATTGGTTGTCTTGAATTATTCTTATGACTCTTCTGAACATTTCAATACATAAGTTTGCCTTCCTTAGTACCTGGTATGTAGGTACTCTGATTACTTATTGAATGAGCAGATATTGTGTTAAAGTGTGATTATCATGAAAATTAGTTCCAGATCCTTCAGTTCTTTGAGGCATTTCCAGCAGATACATACTACTGTTACAAGTCATAATAGTAAGAAATGCTGGTGTACCTTTTGGAGTTCAAAGACCTTTTTGTACTAACTTGTTTCTGATGAAACAATTACTATATGGGAGTAATTTGATCCCATTGGATTATGTTCATGTAATTGTTGGATTATTAAAGCATTTAATTTGTATTTTAGTAAGTGCTGGTATAAATACATTACCTTGTGTCTTGTTCCTAATTATACTATACTGCAGGAGGTGGACCAGTATAATAGAGGAGAGGTGGTTCAGTCCCCTTGGTGATGTGTCATCTTAATTAAGATCAAGGAGTTCTTAAGTTTGTGTGTTTGGGAAAATGACAAAGTGAAAACATTTTTTCACCATTTTACACTAGATTGGTTTGTAGAAAGGAAGCAGCAAATTAAATTGCTTTTACATTTTTAAAACACTTAAGATGGAAAATAGAAAAGACAGAGGTAGATAAACATACTATATTACTTTCAAAGAAATTTAATTTAGTCTTTAGCAATGGCTTTGAGTAGAAGTACTACCTTCAGTTGTAGATAAGATAATGCATGTGGTATAGTCTCAAGTAACTAGAGACTGAATGGAATCGATATTTTACATTAGTTATGCATTATTTATCATGTCTGATAAAGCAACAGCATACGCCTGATGCTTTTACCACCATCTGCATGATACTCTATACTCCAAGTGAGTGAGTATATTAATCCTAGGTTAACTTTTACAGTAAGAGTTGTGGACTTCCTTGGTAAATTAACATCCACAAACTTAAAACCACAGGTAGGAGAATGATAGAGGACGCAGAAGCACTGATAAGAAAGAAAACCGAAGGAACAGAGAAATGAACAGGGTATTGAAACTGTGAGAAATACACTGATTTTCTTTTTTACTGTAACTGTTCGTTATAAGTGATTCTAAAAGAAGAAATCCAGATCATCAAGAAAATTCTGAATACATGTAAA